AAGAACCTCACTTCTTCAGATGCAAGTCCTTCACTACTTGCATCTGAAGAAGTGAGGTTCTTACCCACGAAAGCTTATGCTCCCAGTACTTCTGTTAGTCTCAAAGGTGCCACAGGACCCTCTGTTGCTTTTTACAGATTCAGACTAACACGGCTACCCCTCTGATACTTTAAGTATGTGATCACACATGATTTATTTCCACAAGGTTCCTGCCTCATTCACTGCAGAGGGGATCTGATTGTGCACTATACTTACATACAGGGCAGAGCAGGGTGGTCATGGTTTACACCTCAGGGAGGGAGATTTGGTATTTAAGCTAACGGATAATATTGGCACAAAACCAAATGGGAATAAATGGGCCGTGAACAAATTTAGGCTGGAAATTAGAAGAAGGTTTCTAACAATGACAGAAGTGAGGTTCTGGATCAGCTTCCTAATAGGAGTTCTGTGGGCAAACAACTTAATTAGTCTTAAGATAGAGCTTGATACATTTATGAGTGGGGCTTCTATTGTGGTTGGGAGGCAGGGCTTGGTGGGTCTTTCCAGTTCATGATGTCTTATGTTCCTAAAATCTCATGCTTCAGGACTTCAGCCAGTCACTTGTAGGGTCAGGAAGAACCCCCCTCCCCCCAACTGATGTATTAATATTTTTTTGTTTTTCTCTCCTTCCTCTGAAGCATCAGAAAAGGTCGCAGCTGGAGATGGGACACTGGACAGGGCGGCCAGTGCTGTGAGGTGGTACGGAACATTCTCTCTCTCAGGTGCTTGGCTAACTGGTTCTTAGTCATGTGCTCAGGGTCTAACTGATCACCATCTGTGGGGTTGGGAAGAATAAAGTATGTGTGTGAATGTATTCCAGTTATTAATTTTTAATTGAGCTTTTCCATTTAATGTAGGTTATGGAGGCAGCCTTATACTCCCGCTGGCATGACTGGCCAGAAAGGACATGCCAGTCATCCTGGTGAGCTGATTGCTCACGTTAAGCCCTAATGATCCATCCCTTCTGGAGATTGGGCTGAAGCATCTACTAGCTGACTTGCCTCCTATTCCTGCTGTGATTCCCTCCTTCTACTTGGCGCACCATGGGCGGATGCTTCTCCAAACCCAAACCAGGTGACTGCTGTTCAGTGTTCCTCTAATCGTCACATGTTCGCCTGAGTAGCTGCAGATGAAACTAGGTCAGGCCCGCAGAGGTGCTCCATGGGGAGGCTGCTTCAGAGAATTTTAATTCTCTGCTCTTACACGGAGGATTACAGAGCAGTTAATCCGCAGAACATTCCATTTCATTTTCATTCACATGCAGTGAATTGTGTAAAACCTTTTAAAGTGCTGAGGGGTAGGGCGAAAAACTCAAATCTCAGTAAACTAGAGATAAAAAAGCTCACCGGGGTGTCAGTCGCAGCCTGGGACAAAGGAAAGAATCCAGCCTTGATCTGAAAGACAGAGATTCAAAATCTAGAAGTACATTTCCCATTTGATTTGCCCTCACACATAAACTGCTCACTCCCGTCCTGCTGCCCTGTACACTCCCACACAGAGCAGCTGTTCAGTCCCTTGTGGCCCACATCCACAAAATGATGGTGTGGTCTTCCCACATGCTTGCCCCACCTGAGGTTACTGCTGTATGCTCCCCTATCCCTGATCCTCTGCCTGATTCACAACACTACTGTATTCTCCCTCACCCCACTTTCAGAACTGCACTGCTCCCAGGCTCAGCCCCGAAGGCACCGCTGTACACTTTCCATCTGCCCCCCGGATCCTCATGGTGAGTGAAAACTCGTGGGGAGGTAATAGGTCCATTACGGACAAGGACTGTAAATTGCTTCAAAGGAGCAGTGTGACAACCATCCTTAAAACAGGCAATATTGTGGCCTTGCTCAAGAAACAATCTCAGCTCTAGTAACCTCATCAATTATTGACCAGCCTCAAATTTTCCCTTTTTGGAAGATCTTTCATAGTTGTATGCAATGTTGTTGTAGCCGTGTGGGTCCCAGGATATTAGAGACACACGGTGGGCGAGGTGATATCTTTTATTGAACCAACCTCTCTTGGAGAGAGAGACAAGCTTTCAAGGTACACAGAGCTCTTCCTCAGGCCTGGGAACGGTACTCACAGTGTCACAGCTAATTACAAGATCAAACAGATAGTCTTTAGCACATAGTCTTTATTCTTTTAGTTAGCACATCTTTAAAAATTTCATTATTTTAAGCTGAACTTATAATTTTGGGGGCCTGATTCATCATTTTTGAATTCTTGAAGCTGGCAATTCGGAGCATGGCATATACTGAGGTGACGCTCTTTTGTACAATATTAGCATTCACAAATAATATAAATAAACCCCTTTATCTACTTTATTTTGTATCTTTAAAAAATACTCCAATTAGCGGGTTAGTTCATGTGTCCTTCCATTATATGTACCTGCAGAATAGTAGTTGCTTTGCCATGAGAGCAGGGGCGGCTCTAGGCACCAGCGCTCCAGCAGGGGCGGCGTGCCGGTCGCCGTGAGGGCGGCAGTCAGGCAGCCTTTGGCGGCGTGCCTGCGGGAGGTCCACTGGTCCCGCGCAGGGCCGGCTCCAGGCACCAGCTTACCAAGCAGGTGCTTGGGGCAGCCACTTTGGAGAGGGGCGGCACGTCCAGCTGTTCGGCGGCAATTCGGCCGACGGTCCCTCACTCCTGCTCGGAGCAAAGGACCTCCCACTGAATTGCCGCCGCAGATCGCGATCGCGGCTTTTTTTGTTTTGTTTTGTTTGTTTGTTTGGCTGCTTGGGGTGGCCAAAACCCTGGAGTCGGCCCTGGTCCCGTGGCTTCGGCGGCAATTTGGCGGCGGGTACGCCGAAGGCGCGGGACCGGCAGATCACCCGCAGAAACGCCGCCGAATCTGCATAACCAGCGGACCGCCCGCAGGCGTGCCGCCAAAGGCCGCCTGACTGCCGTGCTTGGGGTGGCACAAAACATAGAGCTGCCCCTGCCTGAGAGAGAACTGATTTCTCATTCCTGACTATCTCAGGACTTAGATAGCAAGAGTCCTGGTCTTCAGTACAAAAGTTCCCCCTTTTGTTAGTCCAACAGAAGTCAGCCCTCACTGTTATTGAGTAAACAGAAGTACAGTCATATGTGACTGCTTAAAAAATTGCAAAACATTAGATCACATTCACATTAAGCTTAAGACCCTCTTTTAGTAGGTTTAAAAAGGGCTTAAAATATGCTGGAATGCAGTCCAAGTACGTCAAGCCAATCGGATTAAAAAAAAGTTAAGAAACTTGGTGTTTATAAACCTCTTATTTCTTAGAAATCTAATTTTCCTTGATCAAAATAGTTCTGTTTCCAGTCTGGACAAACCCAATTACCACGGAGCCCCAGTCTCCAGAAAGGCACAGCAAAAGGGAACACAGCTCCCTACCTAGAGCAAAGGGGCTGTCCCAGAGGCACCCAGTGTGGCGCAGGGTGGGGTGAAGCAGTGAGTTGCCGGGATGGGGAAGAGGTGAAGTGGACCGGGGGGTGCCATAGAGAGGAGCAGGTGGGGTGAAGATGGAAGGTTGTGTGGGGAGGTAAAATGGAGCCACACTGAAAGGGGGTGGGGTGGAGGCACCATGTGGGAGAGTGGAGCCATGAGGCACAGGGAGCAGATGGAGCTGAGAAGTGCAGTGCCGGGGGAGGGTCTGGGAGGTGTTCTGAGGGAGAGGGATGAGGGGGAGCTGAGAGGTGCAGTGCGGGGGAAGGGTCTGGAAGGTGTTCTGAGGGAGAGAAATGAGGGAGGCTGAGAGGTGCAGTGTGGCGGAGGAGCGAAGAAGTGCAGTGCGGGGGGGGAGCTGGAAGGTGTTCTGAGGGAGAGGAATGAGGGGGGCTGAGAGGTGCAGTGTGGAGGAGGAGCTAAGAGGTGCAGTGTGGGGGGGGAGCTGGAAGCTGTTCTGAGGGAGAGGAATGAGGGGGGCTGAGACGTGCTGTGTAGTGGAGGGGACAGATGAAGCATCCATGGTACCTTTTTGCTAGGGACAACTGTTTTGAAAATTACTTTAGTGATACTGGTTATTGTGTGAGCCGCCACATTTTTGTGAAGTGCTGCACTAGTTAGCACCTTATGGAGCTGTCTAGTGTCATATGCTGCCCTACTGGTTTTGCATAGCAGTGGTTCTGAACCTGTGGTCCATGGACCCAGACTATGTCTAAAGGGTCTACAAAAGACAGATTGAAAACTAACTGAACAGAATTCTACTCTATGTACAGACAATAGATTTCCAAAGGAGCCCACACCTCCATTCGAAATGTTTTAGGGGTCCGTAAATGAAAAAAGGTTGAGAACCACTATTGTATAGTGCCATGGATTTGTTGCTCTGCCTGTTAATTCAGCGGATAGGGAAGTACGTACTCCCACATATCTGCTCACGAAGCTCCTCCTTTGTCCATGGAGACTCATATTTGCATGGGTTCTTTAGGCCATGTCTATACTATAAAATTAAGCTGACCTAACGCCCGTCGGCATATAACCGCTGCAGTAATTATATTGCTTGTGCACGTCTACACTTCGCTCCTTGTGTCGGCAGTGCACGTGTATCGATTGTACTGTCAGTGTGGGGCATTGGGGGGCGGTTCCTGAAAGCCAGTAACAGTCAATGTAAGCAACGCAGTGTTGACCTAACCTAACTACATTGACCTTGACACTACGCCACCCAGGAAGATGGAGTTATTAAGTCGGCGTAGTGGTGCAGTTATGTCAGTGAGAGTGAAATTTGGGTGTAGACACTTCCAACTGACCAGCAGTTAATGTGCTACAGCAGGTTCCACAAGGCTGCATGACCATAGTGTGAAATTATCTATTTTTTACCATGACTGTGCCGTGCATTATGCACAATACTCATTTTGGAGAGTAGCAGAGCTTTGATCCACCAAAGCTCTAGGCGGTCTCTTAGGCCATGTCTACTATAAGGAATGTTTGTACAAAAATTGCCACAGGTGCTACCTCTGGTAACACCAGTACTAGCACTGGTGGGAGCCCTAATGTAGATGGCTTTCAGGCTCTGGCAGTTGTTTTCAGTGTCAGTTAACACTGCTGAAGAGAGTAAGTCTAAATGTCAAGATCCTGAACACTGCTGCTGAGCTGGAAAACTTTCTATACTAGGCCTCCCATCGGTGCAATTACTGGTGCAGCTGAACCGGTGGTAACATTAGTGAGAATTTTTTTTACTCAAGTTCCCTAGTGTTGATAAAGCCTTCATAAAAAAGATGAAGGTCCATCTTTGTAGAGCTGGCAGCTAATGTAGGCTTTGCATGATGAGACAGGCCCATTTCTTGGGTTTACCTCTTCAGTACTGTACTGAGTACGCGGTATGTACACCACGCTACAGAAGGATTGAAGAGAGGGTTGTTTACAGACTTTGAGCTCTGCTCAGAGGTAAGGTGTGCAAATATTACGACCTTTGCACTGTAGTAGGAACGTGCAATTGGGCGTGCGCAGGTCTTTGTTCATCAAGAGCTCCTTGAAAGAGGCCCCTCTCAGGTGGGTGAAACGAAATTGGGCAGGAAGAGAAGAACTCTGTATGGGAGTAAAAACCACTTTGGGTTTGTGATGTGGAAATATCCTGACAGAAAAACACTATGTAAATATGTAAATAGTTAGATGGGTCATATAGGGCTTCACCCTTTGGGACTCCATAGAGATGATGGGCGGAGCTGAGACAGGAGTGTTGTCATGTTGGGTGTTGGGCAATCACACCTCCTCTTGGAAGTTGTTGGGCAGGACTTCCAACTTCCATTCAGGTCAAGTGAGGGAACAATGACATGCCCCTTTGGCTAGTAAAAGCTGAAACAAGGACTAGGCCACATACAAGCCTGGGCAGTGGCTGTGCCGTGGCTGTGCCATATGGTCCAAGGGGTTTTCCAGCGGATCTGTTAACAAATGCTGGGGCAGGGGTTTGACTGGATTGCAGCTGTATGTCTGTGTGTGTGAGAGAGAGAAGAAGCAGAAACACCACCGAAGCACACAGCGAAGGCAGTAAGGAAGCCCTAGCCGCATCCAGAGAAGGTCTTGTAGCATGACCTTCAGAAAAGATGAAAGAGAGCTTGTGGATAAAGGGATGGAGCTGGAAAAAGGCTTGCCACTGAGAGCAAAGACTCTGTCTCCATCTGTTTGATTCCTACTGTGTTCTGGGAAACAGGACTGTGTGCATTCTTTGTAAGTAAACAGGATTGCATCCAAGAAATACCTGACTGCATCAATTTCTTATGCTCACAAAAATAATCTGCTGGACCCTAATTACTGGCTAACCACTTGAGTCAAAAGCAGTAACAATACTGTATCTGGGTCCAATACTTGCATGGTGTTTCTGTACCATAGATAGGGATGGATATTTCCCCCAGGGGTCTTGCTGGGTAGCAGAGCCTACACATCTAGGCAGTGTGTTTTTACATGAAGATAGCTAACTCAAGATAACCATCTTGCTGTAAAATCAGTGTGGAGACAAGGCACAGTAGTTTTTAATTCCAGGTAGCTAGTCAAGGTATATTCCAGGTGGTGCTATAGTATGGATCTTGACTAACTATACCAAGGTAAAAAGAGCTGCATCTCATCTCCACTGGGATTTTATATCAAGATAGTCATCTGGAGTTAGCTCTCTCAATGACAGAACACACCTTTGTTTGCAGTTAGGGCATAGCCACAGGGCAGGGATGGGAGGAGGAGATGCCTCTGTCTAACAGTCACCTAACAGCTTCCACTTAAGGGCTGTTAAGAGATAGTGCCAAGCCCACTAGCCTTAATGGTTCTAGCCT